GGAATCGTTTATTCTCACAGACGTGCAGGTCGGCTGGGGTTCGTCCCTGCTGACCGCTGCTGGGCTCGCTCATGTGCTGTGGGTAGGCTGGTCTAGGCTGGCTGATCTCTGCTTTGGGCAGCAAGTCTGGGGCTGGGGCTGCCCCACCAGTCTGTCACCCTCTTAGACAGTGAGGTGCCCGTGTGCACTCGTCTCGGGGCGACGGCAGAGGCGCTCGAGGGCCAGCAGAAACACACGAGTCCGTCCCCAAAGGCCTGGGCTCCGGACGGGCACACTCGTTCTGTTAGCCTGGCATCCCTCAACCCTTTTTCCAGTATTGTTCCCCTAAGCAGCCTTTTAGATGCTTTTTCCCTTAACTGCCTCCCCTCCACATGAAATTCTTTTTCATTTTTGTCACATTATTTTCTTTTTATTGTGCTAAAATGTACATAACATAAATTCGTCATTTTCATTATTTTTGAGTATACCGTCGGTGCCATTAAGTACATTACTTTGTCGTGCAGCCATCACCACCATCCATCTCCAGACCTGTTTTCATCTTCCAGAACTAAACCTCTGAACCCATTAAACACTAACTCCCCAGTCACTCCTCCCCCAGCAGCTGGTAACCACTGTTCTACTTTCTGTCCCTATGAGTTTGACTACTTTGGGGTCTCATGTAAGTGGAATCATACAACATACTTTCATGTCATACAGCGTACTTTCATGACTGGCTTATTTCACGTGGCACAATGTCCTCGAGGTTCATCCATGTTGGAGCATGTGTCAGAATTTCCTTCCTTTTTAAGGCTGACTAACATTCCATGGGATGTATGTACCACACTGTTTATCCGTTCGTCTGTTGGTGGACATCTGGGTTATTTCCATCTTTTAGTTGCTGTGAATTATGCTCCTGTGAACGTGGACGTACAAGTATCCGTTGGAGTCCCTGCTTTCAGTTCTTTGGCGTTTATACGTGGAACTGGAATTGCTGGATCATACGATGATTCTAATGATGTTCTAATGATGATCATATGACGTTCAAATTTGGAGGGGCCGCCAAACCGTTTTCCAGAGGGGCTCCACCAGCAGTGTCTGAGGATTCTAATTACTCCGCTTCTTCCTCGACACTCGTTACTATCTGTCCTTTAATTATAGCCATCCCGAGAGTGTGAAGTGGTATCTCATTGTGGTTTCGGTTTGCATTTCCCTGAAAAAATCTGGTTCCACAGATGTACCTGATGTCCGTTTATGTGGCCCCTCAGACTGCTAAAAACCATTATAATTTCTACATTTTTTCACTACCACCCCCAAGAACCACTTTTACCCTCTCGGGGCGTATCGCTTCTACCAAGAGGGCATGTGTTATTAGTCCAAGAGACCATATGGCCAAACTGAAAGTCACGGGGGCAAGGAACTGTACTTCACTTCTTCAGTGGGAGGACCCGCAAAGTCACATGGCAAAGGGAGTGATCACAGAGGGGAGGGGTAATGACACAGAGATCACAGAGAATCAGGGTAATGACAAAGAGTGGAAGAGACTGTAAGTTTGGCCTGATAAGGCTGGCAGGGGCCTCCCCATAATTCTTCAGTCTCCGGGGCAGGCCCACTTCATCTGCAGCAGAGCTCGGTGCCCTGACTTCGGGATGGCTGAGCTGCTTTCTGTCCTCGCAGATCTTGGACGAGGTGGAAAAACGACGCGGCATCTCTCCTGCGCTGGTACAGCCCCTCATGAGGAGTGTCATGGAGGCCCCCTTCCCAGCCCTGGGCAAAACCATTGTCGTCAGGAACTTCCTGCCGGGGTCGGGCACTGAGGTACGTAAGCACTCACATTCCTTTCCTCTCCTCGGGGAGAGAGGGGCCCCAACGGCCCCGTCCCAGTGGTCCGAGGGGTTGGCTCTCAGTGGCCTGTCACATTCGATGATGTCCTCCTGCTCCTCGGGCATCATGGATTCCACCCTAAGTCTAGTCCATCCGGCCCAGGATTCTGGCCCAGAGAGCAACCCTGGCAGCACGTGGTGTCTTTTTGCCTGACGTTGGCCTCACAGGTTAGGGACCACGCCGAACATCCCTGGCTTCTCTCAGTAGCCCATTACATTCATAAATTACATATGAATCTATTTACTTTTTGTATGTGTGTGTGTCTGTATCACCTCTGTAACTGTCATGTCAAACAGATTCTTTCAGGGAAGACAAGCTCAGGTACCACTTTTTATTCACCTTAGACTCTGAAGCATGTCCTTGTTCTTGGCTGGGCTGCGATTTGATGCAGGAGCTTGTTTGCATTTTTCCCATTTCCTGTATGTGGCTCTGTGGACCTCAGAAGGCAGATCTCACTCAAACTTGGGTCTCTAGTTCCAGAGGCCCTTGGAAAAGCAGGTCGCCTGTGGAGATAGGCTCTGGAGCAACCCAGTTTCTCAGCATGGAGAGGAACAGTCTCCCTGTGGCTGGAGAACCATCCCACCTCAGAGGCAGGCAACTTGACCTTGGGGATGTCAGCACTAGCGGGCCCCACTGTGAGGGCAGCACGGGGCAGGTGCTGAACTGAGAGTAAAAACCAGTCTCCACTCACCGTGAGAGAGCCAGCTACTTACAGAGTAAAACCGTGCACACGAGTAGTGGCTGGAGCAGAATTCAGGAACATTTCTGCAGGTTTGGAACGTGAAGATATACACTTGAATACAGGCTGGAAGACGTCACTCCGGAAGCGTTGGGGTGGGGTGGGGTTGGGTTCACTGGGAATGCCTCCTGAAGGAGGCGAGTCTGGGAAGCGCTGCTCGGATCTGCTGGTCCTTCTGCGTGAGCCGGTGACCCATTCCAGCCGGTGACGTCCCTGGAGACAGAGACGCGTGCCTGTGGGCCTCTCAGGGACAGCAAGTTTTCAGCAGGCATAGACCTCCCCTGGGAAGTCCAGATATGTCATTGCTGGGGACAGCCTCCGATCATTGTGGGCCAAGGGCCACCGCTTCAGCCGTCCTCTCTCCCGACCTCCGTGCAAACTGTCCTCAGTCTTGTAGTTGAGTGCAGGGCCCGTTCTTCCCTGGGATCTTCTTGTCCTTTCCCTTTGCCCCCGCTAGTGGGCCGCCCCTGCTGGGATGACCGGATGTGTGAGAGGCCTGGCTGGGCAGGCCGGGCCCCTCGTCACAGCCGCTCCTGTTCCTGGCAGGTGATTGAACTGTGCCGCCCGCTGGACTCCCGGCTCGAACACGTGGACTTTGAGTCTCTCTTCTCCTCTCTCAGCGTCCGCCACCTGCTCGGTGTCTTTGCCTCCCTGCTTCTGGAAAGGAGGGTCATCTTTATCGCGGACAAGCTCAGGTACCCAGCTTGGCTACTTCCGCTAGAGTGTTTGAATACAGGCAGCCTTAGACTGTCTGAAGTCTGGAGGCCAGGTGATTGCCTGGGGTCACCGAGGTCACTCCACCGAAGTGAGAGTGCGAGCCGGTGGGCACCTGTGGCTGGGGGTCTGGAGTCGCCGGTGGCGCACAGCGACAGGCCCGCACTCTGCCACGCCTGCCCACAGCCTGCTTTCCACTCGCTCAGCCATGTGCGGGGCGCGGGGGCGCGGGGGCGGGGAGGCGAGGGCATGCAGAGCTGCCCCAAAGGAGCTGTCAGTCTGGTGGGAGGACAGAGAAGTGAGCAGTACTGTGCTTGAGGGCTCGCTAGGGGTGCTGTGCCTTGGGGACTGAGAAGGGCGCTCACTCCCAGAGCTGGGGGGCGGGGGGACCTCAGGCAAAAGGGGCTGTCTGTACAAGAGTGGGAAGTGAGGGGCATGCAGAGGGGCAGACTGGCTCACGGAAGGGCCGCAGGGCCCCACTAAAGGGCACATCCTTCCTCTCAGAGTTACGGTCGCACACAATCACACCCACTCACTGCCCGGTAAGATGCCACCCACGTCACAATGGTCACATTCAGTGATTTGCAAGGGTCATGTGACAAATCAAGGATGCAGATAAGGATTTGCAGTCATTCTGAACTTTTAAAAAGAATTCCAGGCATTTTCATCATCACAAAATACTGAATCAGAGCCTTCTCCGATTTGGAACTGCGGACACAGAGACGTGAGTGGTGGCCGCCACTCCAGGAGGGCCTGAGACATGGGGCCCGCTGAGGGCCAGCCACCCAGCCGACCAGGAGAAGCAGGTGAGGCCAGCTGAGGGGTCCATCTGGAAAGAAGACATGCCAAAAACACAGAAATCGAACCGTGGTTCGGAGAGGAAATGCACCTCACGACTCTGGAAGACAAAAGGAAGGAAGAAGAAAAGGAAAGAAGTGGGGGGACCCTGTGAATGCAGAGCCCGCCCTCTCCCCACCCGCCCATCCGGTCACCTTTCTGACAGCTCCCCTCAGGACTGGCAGGCACTTGGCTATTCCCATCCTGCCCCCGCCCTGTTGTTCAGTTAGCGCCTCACTTTTAAAGTCACAGTTATTGTCAGCTCAGGAAGCAGGCTCTGTCTCTCAGCCGCAGCTGGTGCTGGGCGCTGGGCGGCTGCCAAGGACCCTGGGCCCTGGGGAATTCAGACCAGAGAGTTCTCAAGGTTGGGGCTCTGGAAGCGAAGGATGAGTAATAACCCTTCAGTGGCCGGGGTAGGGTTTCATCAGCAGTCAAGTAGCATTCCCCGTCCCCCAGCAGCCCCCCTCCGTGCCCCCTAGTCTTCCAGTTGTCGATTCCCAGGCTAGCCTCTGGGGAAAGGGAAGGGGATGATCTCGGAAAGGCCTAGGCAAGAAGCAAAGGCCAGGGAGTCAATCTCGTGCCCACCGGGGCCCAGACAGGGGCAGACAGTCCCCTGAGGAGCTTGTTAGGAGATGTTAGGCTCCCGGAGGGTCCCGCCTGAAAAAGTGTCTGAGGAGATGGGCACGGCCAGAGAGAAGTCGGCCAGTTGAGGACCGGGACACCCGCACTCCAGCAGGCGTCCTCCACTGAGAACAGAGAGTATCTTCAAAGTGCAAAGAGAGAGCAGGTGGGAACAGAAAGGGAGGGAGCCTCGGCAAAGACAGACGTATCCCCGAGGGGCGGCAGAGGGGAGGTGGCAGAGGCTCAGGGCACCAAGACACTTGGAAGTGCTTAGGACAGAGATGACTTGGCCACCTCTCCCTTGTCCCTGGACAGATTTCTGGGTTGACAGGACGGACGCTGGGGCAGCCCCTCCCACAGAGCTGCGGTGATGAGAGACCAAGGACAGGAAGGGACCCCCCACCCCGCAAACGGACCTGCCCCAGCGCCTCCTCACGGCTCCGGGCAGCTTTGTGGAGGAGATGGTTGCTTCTCGGTCTGGCTGGAGGGACTGTGGAGTTTCTCTCCTCATCCCGCCGTCCTGGGTGCCTGCCGTTCTGCCCTTAGAGACTTGGTCTTTTCAAACAGCAGACACCCATGAGGGGGCGTAAAATGCAGGCTGCTGTAAGTGGTTCTTCTAGGCACACGTTGCCCACTGGGTGTTTTCTTTTGCAGCAGCTGCCAGATGTGGGCGCTGAGGAGATGGGGTGTTTATAGAGGAGGAGGAGGCTGCAGGGGTGTGAATAATGCCCTCCTTGGTGCACTAATTATTGTAGGTGTGCGTGGTGTGTGAGGAAAATACCTTAATTACATTTTGGGGCCCTTTACTAGCTTTCAGACTTATGTGTTCCTCTCTGATCACCCAGGGACAGCCTTCCCAGAGTCGGGAGGGACCCGATCATCCTCAGCTGTTGGCCCTGGGTCTCCTCATTTATGACACAGGGGCTCGTCGGCACCCAGGCCCCTCATAGCTCTGACTTGCGAGAATTCTGGTGTCTCGTTGTCCCCAAAGGCAGCAGTGCTTTTTCTGTTACAAGTAGTTTCAAAATGTTTTCTCTCTTGCCCAATAAACTATCTTTCTACCCAACACTAGTTCCAAGCAGACTAGGTGGAAAAATAAATAAGTAACGGCCCACAGAGCCGGAGGCAGGAAGCAATGGAAACGCGAGCCCGACGCGCCTGACGGGAACGACCGCAGCACAGCGGCAGCGGTGCCTCTGCCCTGCTCTCCCGAGGGCTTGACCTGTCTTCTTTCAGGCGCTCACAGCTCAGTCAGATGCGTTCTATTATTAGGAAACTAAAAGGCACAGAGAGCTTAAGCCCCTTTGCTCGAGGAAGTGGTTAGTGCGGGAGCCTGGCTCCAGGGAAAACGAGCAGGATCTGGGGTGGGCGTGAAGGGCTGGCCGAGGCCGTCTGTCTAAGAAATATGAGCAAGGAAGGTCTTTAAAAAGATGCCATTAGGACCCCTTTGTGCTTGGCAGTCAGGCCAGAATCATCTCCCGAAGAAGCTAAGATGGCGGTGCTTGTCTCCCCAGGGCCCTGTCTCCCTTTATGGCCTTCCCGCCAGGGCCCCAGTGAGGTAGATGGGACTGGGTGACCTGCAAAGTCTCTCCGAGCTCTGAAATTCTCTGACTCCACGGGCCAGAGTGCTCTGGCCTTCTGGGACTACGTTCCTTGATACCTGCTCTCCCAGTGATCCTGGCCAGAACCTGCTAAGCCCCCTAGTCCTGGCCCAAGTGTCATCCCTCAGGCTTCCTGTGCTTCCCAAAGTGTCCCAGGGGACCACCGCCTCATCTGCCCAGTGGTAAAATGGGGGAGTGGACTATAGAATTTCTTTGGGGCCTCTTGGCTGAAATGCCCTGTGATTTTATGAACGTGGACGTGCCCAGGGGGCACCGTTAATAAAATCACAGGGCATTTCATCCAAGAGAAATGAGACCTCCCCGCTTTCCCACCCTCACATACCCTCATCTGGATAGTGTGTTCCTGCTGCTGCTTCCTACCTTAGCGGGATCCTAATCATGGGCGCTTCAGAGCTGGTGAGATGCCGAGGACACAAGGGTTCCTTAATGCCCCTCTTAACCTTATGTGCGTTAGGGTAAATACACACCGTGTCATGGTTCGCTCTCACGGGCTTCGCAGACATCGGTGGCCTCCCCGGGCCTCTGCCCTAGACCATGCTAGACTGTACCGCCTCTGCCTCCTCTGGCAGCTTTTATTGTATACTTCTGGGGGCCTCAGCTCGGCCTTCTCTTTTGGGGTCCCTCTGACCCTCAGTTGTGCTCCCTCCCCTAACAGGCCAAGTGAGCCGGTACAGGAACGTCTGACTCACTTGTAAGACGGTGACTATGCTATTAGCTATCATGAGCTAATGATCAGAGCACGGGAACTCCACCAAGAGCATCGTGCGTGTGAGGGTGCCGAGCGAGAAAGCCAGAACCCAGCTTCCTTTCCCCAGCCTGCTCCACCTGAGGAGGCATCAGTGTCCACCTAGCTCTGGCTGAGTCATGGGACAATAGCTACAGAGAATTTGGGGTTCTTCGGCCAAGCCGTGACAAACAAGGGCTTGGGCGCCACTTGCTGGCTGCCAGTTGTCTGACCTGGAAAAGTCTGTGAGGAAAGCTTCAGCATCGGTTCCAGCCGGTCCTTTCATCCCTATCACCATGGCACGATTCTCTACCCGCCACGCGTGCACCAGTTTCCAGCCCTGTTCAGCTGCACGTGGAAGCAGACCTCCTCATTCTTCTGGTTTCTGTCCATAGCCCTGATCTTTTCAATGCCAGAGCAGCCGTGAGAACAGGGCCCACCACAAACTCAGCGAGTGGCCCTGTGACATTCGTTCCAGGGTGGACGTTAGCCAGCTTTAGGCTCATAGTCACTGCTGCCAGCACCCTCCCCCGACCACACGATTTATTTACTCATCATTGCCAGTGAGTCTGCCCACTGCAAGAGGAAAGAGCAGGGAGTCGCAGCAAATATTGCATGAGTTACAAAAGGGTTTCAAGCCGAGCCAAAAATCCACCAAATTTAGAATAACATTTTTGCTCCGTTTCATCTTTAGGGTGGACATTGAGTGTTTCTTAAGGCGCTGTCAAGCCAATGTCTGACAGATGGAAAAGAAAGAATGTTGTTGCGATGGCTTGTTCTGTTGTCATAACAACCCAAATAAATACTTCCCTATACCCCTTCTTCATTTCCTTGATGATAAACATTTTGTTTTTTAGTTTATGAATTTCAGTTCCCAGTGTTTTGGCTAAACCTACAGACCAGGCTGAATAATCAAACCAGAGCTGCACATTAACAAATTTGTACAAAAATTTTAGATGGAACAAAGTTTTTAATATGCAAGAAATTTACTGTTTTTTAAATATAGTGCCAAAAGGTCAGAAGCTGAATGACAGACTGCTATCCAATTATAAGTAAGATTAGGTGGTCAAATCTTGACAAATGCTGAAGTTTGAGCCTTGGTTTTGACATGTGGGCAACTACACAAATAAGTTCATATGTAGCTATGCACATTCATCCTTTTAGTTCATTTTTAGTC